TCAAATCTCTGGTTATGTTATTTAGCCTAAGCAGTGTGACACCTTTCTTATTTTATTCGTTGTTTTAAGACGCTAATGGTTTCTACATTGTTATTCTAATCAAGAGTTGTGCAAATCATTACTAAACATTGCATTTGTACGTAGTCCTGCATCAAAAGGTGGCAAACCTTTTTGGGTCTTCAAAAAGCTTATCTAATGGTGCTCTTGTTGCACTACCATCAAGCTTCCACAAGAATTTTCTTCCATGCGGTCCTTTCCTTCATCCACACAGTTCAACCATCCAGATTTCCTTCATCCAGCTGTCTAAACCAGCCACAAGAAGCATCCAGCTCACCTCCTGTTCATCCCAGCTTTGCCAACCTATTTCTAGCCATCATGTTGGTTTGTTTGAAGTCTTCCACGTACCTTCTTCTCCTTCACACCAAGCGGCCTCTCAACAGATTTTCAGTTCAGCCAAAAACCTTCCAGCCGACCTGCATTTGGCATCCTTCGACCTGCATCTTCCCTCCAACATTTGGCAGCCTTGTTTCTTTCCCTTCTAAGATTGGCAGTTTGAAGACCTGCTGTTTTTTACAGCAGACATCATGATGGGGACATCGACAAGAGGTTTCGACGTGTTTATCAGAGGCGACACAGGAGATCGATGGCCATGATGGAGAGTCTTTACTTTTGATGCATTTTTTGTATTAGCATTTTATGTATTAATCATTTTATTTCAGTTTTTCCGTTTTTGGCCCTTATGGGTAGTTGGTCGCTTTTGTAGCCCAAGGGGCATTCAAGTCTTTTTTTTTTGGAGATTTACATACATACCACTTAATACTATTCTATTTACATATTTAACACCTAAAATTTTAATATTACATACATGCCACCCTTAGTTCATTTTCATATCAAATATGAGTGGTAGAAATGAAATATATGAGTGTTAGGAAAGAAATATAAGTGGTATATTTGATATTAAAATAATATAGAGTGGTATGCATGTAATATTAAAGTTTTAGATGTTAGATATGTAAATAAGATGTTATAAAGTGGTATGTATGTAAATTTCCCTTTTTTTTGTCATTTTGAGGCCTATATATATGGTCATCTTCTTATGTATGAGAGGATGATTGGATGAATGAAAAGTTATCTTGGTGATCCCTTTGTGAGTTCCAAAACGCCTCTAGATCTCTTTGTGAGTTCTAGTGGATGTGGTGTTGAGGTTAGTGGTTTTATTTTCGCATACACCTCCTTCTTTGATCCTCTCTGTCAAGAAATCCTTCCCACCGAATTCCTTGGAAGAACCCGAGCCCCTCCCTCCCTTGCCGCCGACCATCTTGGGCTCACAAGCCGCCGGCCACCTTCCCATCCGTCGGCCACCTTCCCACTCGTCGGCCCTTCTCCCCCATTGCCCCATATTGAAATTCAAATTTCGAATTTCAAATTCCTTCCAAATTGGGAATTCCAAATTAGGAAAGTTTTAATGATGAATCCAATTTTAAATCAAATCAAATTGGATTTAATTATTTTTCTTTCCTATGCATGACGATCGACATGCTCCAATCCCCATTCTTTGACGTGGGCTTTGATTTCGACGACACCGTTGAAGAATACATCGACCGTATCCAATACACCTTAGTTGACGTGATCGACGAGCAAAGGTCAAAGGGACGTTGGATCATCATTGGACGACCATCTTCCTCGACCACTCCGGCCACCTTTCCAAGAATGACAATCCTAGGTTCTTTCTTCCTCGGAGTGACCTTGATTCTAATGTGGAGACTCTTCTTCCGCTAAAGCCTAGACTATTTGAGCGTATGGGCTCCAAAGGTGAAAGCTCCCCTTATTAAATCTTGGATTCTTGTTTACCGTCGTAGATTTACAATTACTCTTTGCATTTTCTTGAATTGTTTGGTTAATCGACTTTGCTCTTTTTTGCCTAAGCAAGTTAAAAACTAAGAAATCCGAGGATCATTCCGTGTTATAAGTAATAACTTTATTTTGGGAATACTTTGTTAAATTGCTCTCTTTAATTTCTTAAGTAACTCCCATCGTTTCACATCACATGAAGACCAACAATTTCGAGATCTATTGTTTTTATTCGTACCCATAAAAAACAACAATGATATAGGTTACAATTTTTTCAGCCATCTACTTCTTGCAAGAATCAACAAGGAACCTTCATCAACAAGGAACCATCATCAACACCGGTGCCAAATATTGCATCATGGATATTACGACTTGTCAATTTTTTATTCTTCTTTGTAAGAACACATTAGGTTCTCCATTTTCTTGATTTTCCTTTTAGATTTTTTCATTTTCACATTACATTTTTCTATCACTTTCTTTCTCTTTTTACCAGTACAGGTTTTTGTTTTCAAGAACCACCTTGGCACTACTTCAATCAGCTCTTAAAAATCAAGCAACATGAAAAATGCTGATTTAGCAGGGGCTCTTCGAACGATGCAAACCAATCAAGAATTGTAATTTCCTGAAATTCAAAAATCCCTCCAATAAGCTGGCGTTCAATTTGCTTCCATTGGCACATCCAACCAATAATTTCAAACCTTCATGGATTCCGTTGATAAGCATCTTGATAGCTTATGCACTGACCGACTACCTTCCTTTCACATGCTAGATCCTTCTTTCTCTGCTGGTATTCTTTGATCCGTTGGCTCTTTTCCTACTCCACAACTTGCCCTCGTTTCTTAAGGTTTTCCTTATCGTAAAACTATGAAAATTGAATTTCCTCTCTTTATTGGATCTGATGTGGAAACATGGATCTTTAAAGCACATGAGTACTTCAATTTTTATAATACTCATGATTGTTATCATGTTAGAATTTCTTCGTTTCATCTTAACAGTCCTGCTGCTACTTGGTATCAATGACTTGGGATGAAAGGTCAATTTATTTCTTTTTCTGATTTTATGTTATATTTATAACAAAGATATATCATTTCTTCTTATGAAGATTTACATGAGAATCTTTCAAAATTAACTCAACAAACTTCAATTTTGGATTATCCAACGGCTTCTAAAAATTTTACATTTAAAGTTCTCAATCTATCAGATTCTACTATTCATTTCTGGACTTAAAATAAGAACTAGGAAGAGAACTTTTATTTGCACGTCCTAATTCTCTTTTAGATGCAATGGAACTTGCTAGATGTTATGAACCTAAAATTCAAATTTTTTTTTTCTGCACCATCCTCACTTTGGCGCAAACCTAACCCTTCCTATTCAACCACCAAGATTCCACCTTCTACCACTCTACCTCCATCCGGCCTCAACCCCACTCCTTTGGCTCAACTTTCTCTACCCATCCATAAAACTCCTAATCTTCCAATTCACAAACTCTCTTACTAAAATTCAACCGAGAAAAAGACTTTGTTTTAATTGTGACACAAAATTTGCCCAATATCGCTTCCCTAATAAATTTTACTTATTATTTGGCATTGACAACAATGAATATCTAGAATACCCTAAATTTTCTCTTAATATTGATGATAATTAAGATCTCTTTTGAAATTAGTTTAAATGCTTTAGTCGGATTATTTAATCCTTGCTCTTTTCATTTAAAGGACTATAAATAATCAGAAGGTTCACATTTTCATTGATAGCGAGAGTACTCATAATTTTATTCAAGACTATCTTATTCATCAACTTGGTGTTACTCCTCAACCTATCAAAAAATTCAAAGTTCTAGCACGTAATGACAATTTACTATTCTTTAAAGCTAAATGCATGTCACAATTACTATGCAAGGCTATCAGGTCACTTTAGATTTATTCATCCTTCATCCACGGTCCTGATATCGTTCTAAGTATGCATTGACTATAATCCTTGGGACCAATTTTACATAATTTTCACAATTTGTCTATGCAATTTAATTATCAAAATTAATAATTTATACTTTTAGGTGAACCTCAATTATCCTCCAAACCCATTTCTTTTAACCCATCACATGCTCTCATATCTCATTCCCCAACCATTCATATATTCACTAGTCAATCCCATCATCTAAATGCTAATCTTACACCACTTTATTTTTGTGACAAATATCTACATACCCTTCTTCGCCCTCTTCCTACTATTTCTACATTATTACACAAGTTTCAACACTTATTCAAGTGATCGACCACCACCACATACCATCGTATCCATTGTCCATCTTTATCCAAACCCCTTGATATTATCCCTTGTCGTTCCCCACATTATCAAAATGATGCGATAGATCAATTAATTTCAGAAATATTTCAGTCTGGCATTATTTGTCATTGTCATAGTCCTTTTTCTAACCTTATCCTTTTCGTCAAAAAAGAGATGACACTTGGCATTTTTGTGTTGACTATCATGCTCTTAATGCCCTTACTATTAAAGATAAATTTCCCATTAAAATTGTGGATGAATTGGTTGATGAACTTCATGGAGCTTATTTTTGTTTTCTAAACTTGGCCTTCTTTCCGGATATCATCAAGTCCGTATGCATCCAAATAATATACATAAAACTACTTTTCACACTTATGATGATCGCTATGAATTTCTTGTTATGCATTTTGGCTGAACGAATGCCCCCTCAACATTTCAAGCCTAAATGAAGTTAGTTTTTCGATCTTTCCTTCAAAAGTTTGTCATTATTTTTTTATGATATTTTCATCTATAATCCTACTGTAGAATCTCATTTTGATTGCCTGCTTCTTGTATTTTGACGTGTAAATAGGTAGCTAAATATTGTATGGACGGAATTTATGTACAAAAAAAAAAAGTGCAAATAGATAACCTCAAGTAGTATTTAATAAACAAATGAAGAATGAGGACTTATAAAGCTGACTTCAAATAGTTTTGTTAAGGCTAATGATAAGGATTGATACTCGCTCAAATGCTTTCCTTATTTTGCTGTGAACCAAAACTTACTGTTGTTACGCTTCATTATTTCAATGCTTATTCCAGTTTCAAAACCCGTCATTTTGGATTTTCTACTTGGTATAAAAATTTTCTAACCTGAACCTATCTTGCAGGTGTGCTTATCGTATTGGGATTAGGAACTGCGTTTCGGCTTGCATTGGAATGCTGCCATGAATGGGGCACAAGGAGACACGGGCAGGGGGTGGATGCTGACATTACTACTGGTTTCCATCCTGCCGTTTAACTAGCTCCCTCCCTGCATATCAATAGCATCATATAGAATTTAATTATGAAAGCCATTTCATTTTTTCAAACTTTTAGCTGATAGAAAGTTTTACTTCTGCAAATGATTGGGTAGACTGCACATGGTGATATTAGTTCAGTAGAATGTGCTTATTATTGTTGTTACCAATACATTGTCCAGATCTTTCTGCCAGCTTGTCCCTTCAGTTTCTAATAAAGGGCTCTATTAGTACTTTTCCATCATGTTAATCCTGCTGAAAGTTTCCTTTATGCTATATCCTCACAAATCACAATCTATAGCTTTCACAGTTGGGAGAGATTATTCTGTGCGGACATCGGATGGTACAGTACCTATCTTGCAGGTGCGCTTATCGTATTGGGATTAGGAACTGCATATTCTTTTTGTTGGGAGAATTGTCAGGTACCTAATCATTAGTACTTTTCCATTATTATGTGCGGACACGGCTCAATTAGTACTTTTATATATATATATATATATATATAGTCAGGTTATTTGAATTGAATATGGTCAAAATTTATGGGTTTTTGTTCTTATTTTACTTGTTAAATATATAAATTTAGTCTTGATCTAATTATTGAGTTGAATCTGTTTAAGTATGAGCAACAAAGTTTTCTTTTTTATATAGCTCTAAATATGAATGTTTATAATGCTGAGCAATTGTATCAAAAAAGAAACGTTGAGGGCACCCCTTTTTGAATTTGGACTCTCTATATTTAGAACAATTATTACGTCCTCCGACCGGACGTAGAGGAACGTCCGGTCGGAGGCAAATTCCCGCCAAATACCGAGTTGTACCGAGTAAACACGGAGCAATATCAAATAATAACGAGGAATAACATCATGTGAAGACCCAATACCGAGTTTTTTCGAGCTATCTTGAGCAATACCGAGTTATACAAAAGTTGTAGAAAAAACTCGGTACAACTCGGTATTTCTCGATATAGCTCGGTATAACTCGGTATTGGTCTTCAAAGAGCGGTATTTATCGTTATTATCAAATAATACCTAGTTGTACCAAGAAAATACCGAGTTTTTTGGCGAAAATTTAGCTCCAACCGGACGTTCCTCTACGTCCTTGCACCGGATGTAATAAAAGTTCCTATATTTAATGTTGTTGATAAATTTAGTCATTCAGAAATGGTTATTTTGTTTTATCTTGGGAAAACTAAGGGCAAATATGCCTAATTTTATTCTAAAATTTTAAAAGGTTACAATTACATAGAATTGTAAGAAAACAATGAAAAATTTACAACTCTAAATAGACTAAAAATTCCTAAAAAAAGGAAACAAAAAGAAGCTCCAAACAGCAGCAACTGAAAAGAAAAACCCTCCGGACTCGGCAATTGGCAAAACCTTCAAAATATTCTTAAACCTGAGAATCAATGGTTGCTAGTTCAACCATCTAGCATAAAACTGGTTACCAAATTAACCGTCAAAATGAAAGAACCTATGAAAGTGCCCAAACATCATAGTCCAGAAAATATCCAACCAGTCATCTTAAACAATCAGATGCTAAATTTTGAGCAAAGAAGTTTAATTAAAAACTTTAGCTTGAATCGCAAATCTGATACTTCTACAAAAAAAAAATCTATACTGCTGAAGTTGTTATCAATTTTTCTGCAATTCCTCTCTTTCCAAACAAAATAAAGAGTGCAGCAAGTATAGAGATAAAAAAGACATTTAGCCTCAGCATTCCAATTCGAATTTCAAATCAATTCAAAATTTTGAATTAAATTATGTCTAAGCATAAACTAATTTATACTAGACACAAATTTAGAAATAATATTGAAAGTAAAATCACATTCAAAAAATAAATGTCTATGACTTTTAGGTCCTCTATTGCAAACGATACAATTGACTGGCACTATAACATTTCTTTTTATCAAAAGATACGTAGTTTTTAAATCATTCAACATAGCCATCCAAGAGATACAAGAGAACCTTAAAGCATATCTCTTATGTCAAACATATTTAAATCAGTCCACCTTAATAAAATTATTAAAGAACACAATAGAAATTTTTAAAAATAAGAAAATTCATTTTATCCTAAGCAATAATATAATTCACCTGATTTTGGATTGGAATTTTCAAAATCTCTTGAACTATAACATCCAAAATCTGATCTGGAACGACTCAATTACCATCATTAATCCTGCCCCCAACTTTCATATTTATGAAAGAGGTAGCCTCATCAGACAAAAGAATCTCCTGAAAAGCTTTTCCATTAATTTAAGGATCCCATAAAAGAGATAACCGGCAAGGATTATCCATATTAAAAGAGAGATTATTTTTAATATCCATAGTAATAACATAAAGTTCTTTCCAAAATTTTGAATCTCTTTGCGAACAAGGCTTCCAACAAAAAATGTATTTAGATTTGACCTAACTAGCAAGAAGCCCAAATTATTCACAATCCGCCAGATAAGAGAACACCTAAAAGAAAATCTTAAGGCATTCGGATTATGAATAACTAACCCACCAAATATTTTAGGCTTGCAGACTTCCTTCCAAGCAATCATTTGAATCCTGAAATAAAAAATTAAAACAAGCTTTTTTGAGAAATTTGAAACAAGCTTTTGGTAAAGAAAATCCTCTAATCCAATAAGAAATTATATTATAAATAGTAAAGTTAATATATTGAATTCTACCAGAAAAAAAAAAAAAAGATTCTTGCTTTCCAACCAGCTAAAAGATCCATAATTTTGTTCATCAATGACTAAAAATCAGAAATTAGAAGCCTTTTGCAAGAAATTGGAAGACCTAAGTATTTCAAAGTATTATGGAAAATCGAAATACCCAAAATTTGACTAATGTCATGAGCCAAATTACACCCTTTAGAAAAAACAATGGAGCTTTTTTCTTGATTAACCTGAAGTCCATAAATTTTATAGAAATACTCCAAAATCTCATTTAATTTTTCAGCATTTAAAATAGATGCTTTCCCAAAAACAATAACATTATTCACATATAAAAGATGAGAAATTAAATTCTCACCTGCATTAATACCCTCAAAATTAACCTCTTAAGACTGATCCTCCAGAAGATTAGAAAAAGCATCCATAATAATATAAAAAAGATACGGAGAAAGATGACAACCTTGACAAAGACCAGAAGAAGAATTAAAAAAACCATTAAGAGAGACAATGAGAATGACCGAGAAAAAGATATTATCAACACACCCTTTGACCCAAGAAATAAGTACATGAGGAAAGTCTTTTTGAGTCATCCTATTAAAAAGAAAATCTCTAGAAACAGAGTCAAATGCTTTATGGATATCCAACTTGGAGTAGAAGAACTTCTTATTATGACTATTAAACCCTCTTAATAATTCCACAGCAAGAATAATATTATCAGTAGAAATCATCTTTTTAATGAAATCGGATTGACTCTTGCGAATAATGATGGGCATAACATCCTTCATTCTAAGAAATGGTTGTTGGCTTGTCTGCCGTATAACGTTAATGATGCCCCCTTGTTTAGTTGCGAGATAATATGAGCTTCTGAAGAATCAGATGTTCCAGTTGATCCTAAGCGATTATGGTTAAAGAATTGGAACTACCACCAAATGAAAATTTAGATTCATTTAATTCCAACATATTCGTAATGAAATACAAGGTTGAGAAGATATGTTACTCATATCAAATTATCAAAGATTTGGTTTGAGACAGTTTTTTATGATTTTTTTTTTTTTAAATTTTAGTATAAAATTAGAAAATTTTTGCACCAAAAAGTTATTTTAGGTAGTAAGATACTTTTTAAAATAATTTTTTTTTGTATAAAAAATAAAAAAATTTGTTTGAAAAAGGTGTTTTAAGAAATATTAAGAACGTCATTATAAATGAAGCTTAATTTTTTGTTTGGAATAATTTTTTTATTAATTTTTCTAAGAAAAATATTTTAATAAATAATAAGAAAATTGTACAAAAGAAAAAGAAGTCTAAGATGAATAACTATGATGAGATAAATCTGTTACATAGACTAAAAGATCAGCACAACAGAAAATTTGTCTAAAACAAACCACCTAAATTAAAAAAGCAAAAAAGTTCAATATTTTGCAGGTCCTAAAAATAAAGAATCCTATACAAAAGAAAAATACATGATAGCTAAAAGTATATGAGCCATCCAAAAGGGCCTCGTAATGATGCTCTAGAATCAGACTCAAAGCACCTGCACAGAGGATTCTAAATCATGTATATGCTCGGTTGCATCTAAGTATTTTAATTAGGCAACAAGAAACCATCTAGAGCACGAGCAATTATTAGGTCCTTTCACTGGATGTAGAGGAAGGTTCAGTTTTAGCCAAAAATAGGTAAAAAGTGCAAATACCGAGTTTTTTGAAAAACTCGGTATTTTTTCAAAAAACTCGGTATTTGCACTTTTTTAGGCAAAACCGAACCTTCCTCTAGGTCCTTGCACCGGACCAAATAAAAACTCCACGTGGAGGCCTCTTGACGACTTGGATCTTGATACTTGGCTGTGTAAGTATTAATAATATTATATAAAGAATTAAAGCTCGGTTCAATTAAAGCTCGTTCATGATCGTTTAATCTAATTTAAATATATTTTGTAATTTTAGAAAAAGGAACCACTGGCTCGTAGGTTTTATTTCTTTTTATCTTGTAGCTATTTCGAGCATTAGTGAGCTGGAGGTTCCTTCTAATGACCTTGTAACCGCTTTTTTGGAAATTAACACGTAGGCCCCGCCGTGGGTTTAAAAAAAAAACTAACTAAACAAACAAACTTGAACAACATTTTAAATACTCGGTCCTTAAATAAACAAGTTTGAACACTAATGTGTTCAGTTAAAATTGATAAATATATAAATAGAAATATTTGAATTTTATTATAATATAATGATATAATTATTTTTAATTAATAAAATTTAAAGTAATGAAATATTATAATATATGTTAAATAAGATAAATTCCTCTCGACTTTTGTGTTATGTGATTTGAATAGGTGTGGACTACGCATAATAATATAAAGGAAACATGAATAGAGAAGATGATGGATATTATTCATAATAACAACTCAAAAGATTATAATGATAATTTGGATGGAAGATTAATCAAAATTTTCATTAAGGAGAAAATCACCAAGTTCTACCATTACATTTCATATTAGCAATGCTCCAACATATATTAACTAAGTCTATTTTATACTATAAATTATTATATATTTATAGTATCTCTATTATAATATTGCGAAATAAAAAAGTATA